GAAAGAAAGGAGCGCCTGGCACCACCTGGTCACGAAGGTGCACATCAAAGTCTCCAGCAGCAGAAAGAGCCTTATCTTTCTTCCCCTTTTTGTATACCTCCTTCTCCTCATTCACTTTCGTCTCCGTCTTCCCCTTCTTCACTTTCTCAGGCCGAGTAGAGTATCGTTGAGGACCGTGCCAGCTCGCAGACGAAGCCAGAAGAAGTCCGGATGACGTCGAAGGCGCAGCAAGATCCAACGAGGCAGGGCCCGACAAGGCCGAAGCACCAGGTGCCGACGCGCCCGAAGCCGACGCCGAAGGAGCCAATATTCCCGTCGCGCTCGACGCAGACGTGGAAATATTCGCGAAGTCAGAGAAAATGTCAGCAGCGAGCAGACCAGCGGCACGCAGGCGCCATTGTGCAGCAGCCAAAGCCAACGAGCCCTCAAAAGCAGGAATAATCGACTTCAAACGCAAGTGCTCGAGATGGATCGCCTCGCCCGTGACCACAGAGGGAGAGGGAGGAGGACGCGCGGAGGAGGAGGAGGAGGAGGAGGAGGAGGAGGAGGAGGTGGAGGTGAAGGAGGAGGAGGAGGAGGAGCCCCAGAAGCTTCGGCGACCTCGTCCGTTCCTAGCTGGCGGCGCAGCCAGGAGTGCGATCAGCGCCAGACTAGGGCCCAGGCTGCACTGCGGGCTGATGCGATCGCATCAGCCGTCGGCGAAACAGCACACTTCATTTTATTGTAATCAATGTGGAATGCGAGCGCCACGCGTTGGACCGCACGCCGCAACGAAAAGGTCGCTGGCGGTATCTGGCGGACACGCCGCGGCCGAGCCCAAAGCCCACGTCACAAGTGTGGTTTGAAGCGGGGGCGGGGGGGGGCCAGGGGGCAGGAAGACAAGGCGAAAGAGGTAGTTGGGAAAGGAAGATGGCGCCTGCGCACAGCCGAACACGTAGGGCCTCGGCGCAAGCACGCCCATTCGGGAGGTGGGTGTCCATCCCCCGCTGAAGGTCTTGAAAATGGCCCAGCGCCAGCTGGGACGGACAGCTGTGAATCCCCAGGACAGGACATCCTAGCGCCTGGAAAGCTCTTCGGGCGAGGGCAGCTGACGCCTCTGAAGAGTGACCGTATAAACGGCGACCTGGAAGGAACACCACGGAGCGCCTGCACGATGGCACGCTGCACTTCAGGGCGGCGAGGCGGATCCGCTGACGGGGCCTCTCAAATTTCCACGCGGGCAGCGCGGTTCGCCGCGGCCGCGACTGCTGCTGGGAGCGGAGCCCGGCGGAGACTGCTAACCAGGGCGCCGCAGCACTGCACCAATGGGACGCCGCTCGCCCCGGGAAGGCGGCGACCAAAGACCTGCCTCTCCCAGCGGCGGACGGCAAGCCTCGGGCACACTTCCCATGCGGTGTCACGCAATCGGTCGAGGAAGGGCTCCCAGTACACCCTGCGAAATGCTTAAGAAATCATGGGTTAAGAAATTCGTAGTCTCAGAAATTGAATAAAACCCAGAACTTCTATCAAAATCTTGGGATTTACATTGAAAAGTTAAGAATAATCGAGACTCTGGACGAAAACTTAGGTTTTCTTAAGCATCGCCTAAGGTGTAGTATCCCCTGGAGCGCGAAGATGGCCGAACGAGGTGCGGCTGCGGCGGCCGTGACGCGCGCGGAACGGCGGACCGGCGGCGGGCCCCACCCCGCCACTGCCACGAGATCTGCTTTGCGCGGAACGAGTCCGGCGGCACCCTGAGCATCCTGTGAAAGATGTCCAGCTCGCGGCGGGCAGTGCTTTCTCTGTCAGGGGAGCGTAAGACCCGGGTACAGGGGACTCGGAAATCCCCGACGAGGTCGTCAAAAAAATGACGAGGCCGAGCCTGCATTTTGACGAGGCCTCCCGCTGCAGACATCCCACGAAACTCCTACTCGTCAAAATTCGAATCGCGGTCGTCAAAAAACGATGGCGAACCCGAGTCCTGGCAAACCCAGGTCTTACGCTCCCCCGACTCTGGTGGGGAACACTGCGCAACACAGCCGAATGTTGTGAGCGCGGACGCTTCATTTGAGCGCACTGCGACGTCGCTGCCGCCCTGCACGAGATTGAAAAGGCCCCCCCATTTTGCCGCCGTTTCTGCACAGGGGCGAGCCATTGACAGGCGAGGGCAGCAGGGGGTCCAAGGAAGGTCTCGGGGTACTTGGCTCGCCCCGCAGACGACAAAAATACCCCAGGAGGAAACCATAAGAGTCCCGGGGAGCCCCCGGATTCCCCCGGATTCCCCCGGATTCCCCCGGCAGCCGCCCAGATCCCCCTGGGGAGTCCAGATGCTCTCTTTTGAGCCCCCTAGAAACCTATCAGTCTTCGCTGCTAGGTGAATACCCCAAGAGGAAAGACAAAAAATACACTAGAAACCTATCAGTCTTCGCTGCTAGGTAAATACCCCAAGAGGAAAGACAAAAAATACCCCAGGAGGGTCCGGGCGCGGGCACTGGTGGCGGGGGTCGCGGCGGCCGCGAGCGGAACGACTGCGCCCTTGCGAGGCCTGAGGGCAAGGAGCGCAAGCCCCTCGTCAGCGGCGCCAGGCCCAGAAGCACAGCGCAGCGCGCCGAACGGGTACGTCGAGGAACCCGAGGTCGTCTGCGCATCCACCGACGTAGCCCTCGTCGCAGTTTGGGGGCGCCACCGGCGTTCGCAACGAAGGATGCGATGTGGCGGAGGCGCAGGTCCATCGAGATGGTCCGTGCAGCTCGACTCGCTGGGCAGAGCGACGCCAGACTCGATCGGGCACATCGTGTGGCGGGTGCCATCGACTTTGACGAAGCTGTTCGGCGCGCAGCAAGCGGCTTGGAAGAGGTCGAGGAGGCCAACGGGGATCCCGAAGCGCTCCAGCGCAGCAAATAACCCGACCCGTCAAAGGGACAGGAACGCCGCCGAGAAGTCGAAGCTGGTGAAGACGGGCACGTTGGTGACGGCGTCGGGGGCCCACCCCGCACGGCGCAGCGCTGCGTCGAGGCGGACAATGTGCTTGGTGGTGTTTCGGCCAACCACGAAGACCTGCCGCGCGGTGTGCGCGCGGTCGGCGACAGCGGACTTATGTCCGTGTCTTTGATCGGCAAAGGACGCGAATATTCATGGGCTCGATCGGCGGCGAGCTCGCCCGTGAGGTCGCCACCCTTCTGCAGGAAAGCGAAGTCGGAGTACACCCTGCGAAATGCTTAATAAATCATGGGTTAAGAAACTCAGATTCTCAGGATTTGAATAAAAACCCAGAACTTCGATCAAAATCTTGGGATTTACATTGAAACATTAAGAATAATCGAGACTCTCGCCGAAAACTTACGTTTTCTTAAGCATCGCTCAGGGTGTAGTTTAGGCCCCGTGGGCAGGAGTGGAGTGGCCCGAGCAGAGGTAGAACGAGAGGTCCTCCAGAATGTCCAGCGATGACTCGTGTGCCAGCCGCGCGGAGCACGGCAAGCAAGCGGGGCCAGGCGCCGACGGCGTGGTGCGCTTGTGGCAGGCGCGCCTCTGGGACTTGCTCGGCGCGGAGGCATCGACGGCGATCCCCGGCGGCATGCGGTCTGCGATTCACTACACCCTGCGAAATGCTTTAGAAATCATGGGTTAAGAAATTCATGGTCTCAGAACTTGAATAAAAACCCAAAATGTCTGTTCAAATCTTTGGATTCACATGGAAACATTAAGAATAATCGAGACTCTGGCCGAAAACTTGGGTTTTCTTAAGCATCGCCTAAGGTGTACTTTGCCATGGTCTCGTCGACCTCCTCCGCGGCGAAGGCTGCAAGCGGGCGCGGAGGGCGCCGACCATGGAGAACCTCTCTCGGGCTGTCTCTCGGGGCCACTGGGGGCTGCGGACTGCGACGCTTCCACGGAGCCCACAAGCCACGGCTGGACCACGCAGCTCACTGTACCACGCCCACCATGCTTCCCACCGGCGGAGTTGAGACTGCAGCTCGTTGGTTACCTGCTGCTGGTGCTGAGCTGAACGGTGCTCTGGGCACCGTACTGCACCGCGGGTTGGCCCTCCTTCCACGACCTGCGCACCTGGAAGGACCAGGCAGTTTCGCACCTCGCGACACAGCCGGACCCAGAACAGAAGCACATTCTGCAAGACCATGAGACCGTCCCCCGCCCAAACTGAGGAACCTTCGAGGGTGCCCTCCCCTCAGGATGCACAAGAACATCCAACAGGCAAGAAGAACATCAGCGCACCCTCCCCGAACCGACCTCTCGATCTTGTATCCCGGTCCGACCATCTTCCACCCAGTGCTGCCCAGCTGCGAGCATCGGCGCCGCGCGCCGCGAGGGCGCGCCCTGCCGAGGAGCCAGTGCGGAGGGGGTGCCGGCATCCGCCCTCGCGCGGCCGCAACGGCGAGGCGCTAGCGCGGGCGGCGCGCGTGAGCCCCGTCCCCAAAGGACAGCCCGCCGCGTCGCGCAGGCCCTGCCCCCGAGAGGTCGTGACGTGGAGCCAAGACGGCTACGAGCACCCTTCCTGCCTCACTCATGTCTTCCTCCTCCTCCCTCCTGCCTCCCTTCCTCCCTCCCTCCTCCCCCGTGATCCCCTCCTCTTACCCACGCGCGCATCCCAACAGCAACAGAAAAGTCACGGCCCGCCCTCTTCCCCAAACTCAAGATGCATCCGCCCCACTTCCTTCCGCTACCGACAACAAATCGGCCACACAAGAAGTCTGCACGATAAACCCAGATCGGGAAACCCAAGGACCTCGAGTGGTCCAGGGCTGGGAACCTTGAGTTCTCATTGCGAACCCCCTCCGACCCTTGAAACCGACGGCGCCCTGGCAGCATGCGGAAAAACGCTCTGATGCCTGGATTGAGACCCGGGCCTCGGTCGGACCCCAGGCCCCATCCCCGGACACTTTCCAGAGCAGCGCCACCAGAGTGCCCCCCGGCCGTGGCGCTCCGGGGACCCCCCCGGGAAGTGCGGCGCACCGGACGGGCAGGCCCCTGGCCCTCGGAAAGGGCGGAACGACCGCGGGCCT